GAGATTGACAGACATTGTGTGCAATCTGCAAAGTTCCATCCTAATCTTAGCTAGAGGGCAGCAATTCTCAGGGGATCTTCCTGTGGGTTAATAGTTGACATGCTTACGGAGGGAGGAATTGGGTCCCTGGGATGTGAGGGAATTGTTGTTACCTGTGCCCCTTGTGAAAGATGCCATCAGCAACCTGCCCCATGGTCTGCATCGCCTGATGCCAGGTCAGAGCTGAGGCTGTATAAAAGGCTGAAGTTCCTGAGGGCACCTCAGTCCACCTGCTTCCTGGGTGATCATAACTTTGAAGGTAAAGGCATCTTGAGGACCAGGAGGGACTCTTGGTGCTGGCACTTTGGGCAGACAGAAGTCCTGGGTGGAGGCTGAGGACAATCTTGAAGAAAGACAAGGAGAAAAGTGGGTTTGAAAGGGAGGATTCTGCTGGAAGGGGAGGGAGGATTAGTGGAAGGGAAAGAAGGATTGGCGTCTTTTTGAGGTTGCAAAAAATTCATTTGAAACTATGGAGTTCCTAGGTTGAAACTGTTTGCATGCCTCTTGTAACTCATTTGGGGAGATTGGGTTTTAAAAATCTGATGATTATAAAGAAGAAATCTAGTGAATTCATAGTTTGGTTTTAAATGTAACGAAGTTATCTTGGGCTAGTTGAACTTAAAACTTCTGTATTTTCTTCCAGCTTCGTTCAGCTCCTGCTGAGACGTCCTGCCAGCAAAACCAGCAGCAGTGCCAGCCCCCTCCCAAGTGTGCCTCCAAAGGCCCAGCCAAGTGTCTCCCCAAGTGCCCCCCCAAGTGCCCGTCCCCCTGCCCACCTCCAGGCTCCTGCTGTGGCCCCAGCTCTGGAGGCTGCTGTAGCTCTTGGGGCCGCGGCTGCACTGGGCCATGAAGACCACTGAGGAGTAACACTTCAGGAGCCCAGGTGCTGATGACCTGCCCAGCCTCAGTCTTCTCTTTTTCTGGTTTGGAAGAACGGAAGAAGCGTGGAAGCGCTTCTGAAATGCTTAGCGTTTCCCTCTTCTTCCTGCCCGTGTTCATTCCTTTGTGAGGTCTAGATGTTTAACCTCTGACCTTCACTGGCCTGATTCCCCTCTCAGATATAGTTCTCTGGAGGACTTGGATTGGAGTTCGGTCATGAAGCTGTTTTCCCTGTAACAATAAAGCTTTTTCTTCCTGGTGTCCCTGCCTCCTGATTATTTTGTTCACCTCTCCCACTCCCCCACCCCCTGCCTCAAGCCATCCTCCCTTCCCTTCTTTTAAATGTAAGTGAACACTTAAAAAAATCAGTTTGGGAAACAGATTTCAGCACTGAAGCTACTTAGACCTCTGGGAAACAATATTCCCTTTTATGATCTGAAGGAGGGAACTTTAAGCTTGAAGGAAAGGATCATGTCTGAGACCATTCCTCTGACACAAGCTTTCCATGAGGAGGGCCAGGAACGGGTTTTCAGGGAGGAGACGGTGGTACCCAGAAAGGTCGCAGTGAGATGACTCTGGGAGGGTTTCTTTCAAGCATGGGTGATGGTTCAAAAAAGAAGTTATTTCCTAGTCATGGGCAGTAAGATCACCTAAAGTGCTCATTCTGGGCTGATTATTATAATCCTGGGTGCTTCCATCAGTTGACTAGAGAGGAAAGCTGATGGGGGTTAGTTTCTGGGGGACTGTTTAGGAGGCAGGTATGGAATGTCTGAGCCCATTTCCCCTGGCTCCTGAAAGCCTGAGTTTGGGTCTGAGTAGGGAACCAAGAAGGACCCCCTCCTCTGCCAAAGACCGTCTCCATGTGGTTGGGGTGTGTGTGTGTGTGTGTGTGTGTGTGTTTGTGTTTGTGTGAGGGGATGGAGGTGGGAGCCGGGGGGCTTCTGTCACTGCATTGGATTTTCTGTTTCCTTTAGGAATAGGATGATTCCTTCAGGAAAGACTCAGTAGTGATACAGTAAGTCCCCTCCATACGAACCTTCAAGTTGTGAACTTTCAAAGATGTGAATGTGTGTACTCATCACGTAAGTTAGTTCACACATCTGGCGTACATTGTCACATGCAACCTACCCTCCATCTCCTACTGCTGACGATCCTTCAGCTCTACCATCTCCCATCTCCTCTCCCTCCTCTAGTCAGTAACTCTTCTTGCCTGTTAACTCGATGCCAGCCCCTGTATGCCAGCTGTTGAACTGTACTATCGTATTTTTCAAGGTACTATACTGTAAGATTAAAAATGTGTTCTTTATTTTTCGTGTTTGTTTGTTTTTTATGTATTATTTGTGTGAAAAGTATTATAAACCTATTACAGTACAGTACTATATAGCCGATTGTGTTAGTTGGGTACCTAGGCTAACTTTGTTGGACATACCAACAAATTGGACTTATGTACATGCTTTTGGAACAGGACTTGTTCATATGTAGGGGACTTAATCCAGAAATGATAATTCTGAATCAGGCTTTTATGTACAAGATGAACAATTAAACCTTCCTTTGATACGAGTTAACAGTGATGGGTAAAGTAAGTTAGTATATGAGGCTACAGCAAGTCCATATAATGAGCATGTACTTGCCCAAATCATCTCCCAGAGCAGATCCTGTCTCCATCTTGTTACTTCATTACTTCCTCTTTTCTAATACCGACCTCACCTTTCAAATGTCTCATCTGTATGCACCAACAGGTGGCCCTAGGTACATGCAACCTGTTAATCAGGCTCTAAAGCCATGTTAAATGAAACTGGTATCTTTTTGTGACTTACCTTTCCTTGTGTGCACACTCATGCCTCTCCCAGCTCACTCACTCCCAAACCTATATCTCACCATCAATTCTTGAATCCTTAGTCTTGGATTTCACTTTTACCTCGTATTCATGGTTGTGGGCTGTTGCATTGATTAAGAAGCAGTTCTGAAAGCAGTTGACCTCCAAAGTCTTTCCCAATTCTTAAAAGCTAGTTATTCCAAAGGCACAATTTTTCATGGGCACTTTGGACCTTTGGAAAGGTCTCCTTTCCTCCCTCCCTCCCTCTCTCTTTCCTTCTTCCTCCCTCCCTCCCTCCCTCCCTTCCTTCCTTCCTTCCTTTCTTCCTTCCTTCCTTCCTTCCTTCCTTCCTTCCTTCCTTCCTTCCTTCCTTCCTTCCTTCCTTCCTTCTTGCTTCTTTCTCTTCACATTGGGCAGTGGCCCCAGGGAGAACCTATCTTCAAAAGGAGTTTGGGATGAGGTCAGGAGTGGAGAGTCTCACAAGCTGACTTGGTATTTGGCAATTCGGCCAGCATCCTGCACAAGTTTTTCTTTTAGGCCCACCAGGGCTGTATGGGGGTATGGTAACCTGACTACCCTCACAGCTTTCCTGGTCTTAATTATTCCATAACTTTGCCTGGGGTTTTCTTCCGGTCTCCAGTGACAAAGAAACTGCCACTGAGATTCCCATAGGCACATCCTCACCATCATCTCCACTCAATCCCACCCGGAAGCATCTGGATGAAACCCAGCAGGCTTTTGGCGTAAACTGTGGCCTTCCCAGAGGAGCCAAGGACCAAGATCCTGAGAGATGTGAACTAAGATAACAAGTGAACTATTGGGGTGGCCAAAACGTTCGTTTGGGCTTTTCTGTACGATGTTACAGAAAAACCCAAACACACATTTTGGCCAACCCAATACAAACTGCCATCTAGACGACTACACTGGGATGAACGTGTGCACAGGGGAACAGTGTGTGTGTGTGCATGTACACTGTAGAAAAGGACAAAGAGAACAGGTCCCAAGAAAGGGGCAGACTTCTCTTCACTTGAGCCCCAATGCCCTGTCTTAGCACACACACAGCCCCCAGCTATGAACAGAGTCCTGTTTGGAAAGTAAACATGCTACAGCAATCCTGGCACCTCTGTGAGGTGACTTGAATACCCATGTGCACCACCTACGGTGCTACCTGAGTGATGAATGTCTCTGGGATGTAAGCGTCAGATGACAATGTCTATTGGGAAATGGGCCCCTCCCAAGAGCCAGCGTCTAACTGGAGTCTTATAAAAGGTTCTCTGGCTGGACACTCCTCAGTCCATTGCCTAGCAGGTGGTGCATTCCAGTTAGAAAGCTGAGTGAGTCTTCCAGTGGAACCAGGGTCTAGTAAGTCTCCAAGTGGAACCTGGGGGAGGAGTATGGGAAGAATTGAAGGCAGAGGGGAGGAGAAGGCAGAACACAGCCAGCAGGTAGATACAGAAAGAGGGCCCTGGAGAGTGCCTTAAGCTTCAAGTGAGCTGACCTCTCCAGGTGTCATGAGGACATGGAAGCCAGATTGGGGGTTGGGGGGGGGGGTGACTCTGCAAGGTGACACAGCAAGTCTGTAGCAGAGATGTGACTGGAATCCAGGTCTTTGACTTCCTGACCTGGGATGTATTACCATCCTCTGCACCACTCTATTTTTCCTTATGGTCATGGGGAGTGAGAGGCATAGGCAGGAAAGAATGACCAAGACATGCTTCTGGTGTTCGTGGATTCTTTAGATCTGGGTCGTTAGGACAGATGGACATATGTGTGATTTTGGTATTTTCTAACTGAGCTAGTGTTGATGCAATGCTAATGATAGGCGAATACCATTTGAAGGTTTATGGCCACAGTGAAATGGGGGAGGGGAAAAGAGCCAGGAGATTTTGGACTGGATCAGACAGAAAAATTACCACAATATCCTCTTTCTTTTCCACTGTGGTGAACTTGGGTGGTCCTTACTCTAGTCAGAAAAAATGGAAAACCATTGATTCTTTGCATAGACTGTTTGCCACTCTATGCAGGTTTAACTCAGTGGAACTCACTCACTGGAACACTTGTTTGGGGTTTGTTCCTTTGCTTCCCCTCTTTCTTGTGTGTGTGTGTGTGTGTGTGTGTGTGTGTGTGTTTTGTGTGTGTGTGTGTTTTCCTTCCTTGCATTATGCCGGGCTCACGTGCTCACAAAGTCAAATCTCAAAAGCCCTGTGTTGGAAAGAAACAGTGCTCCCATGTGAAAAGCTGCTTTTCTTCCAGGTTCTCTGTGACGATGTCCTCCCAGCAGACCGGCAAAGACTTTTCCAAGGGGTCTTCGCAGGACACGAAGGGTTCGTGTCCCACCCCGGCGCCCGACACCTCCTCCTGCTGCGGCTCGGGCTGCTGCAGGGACTCGGGCTGCTGCGGCTCCAGCTCCGTCGGCTGCTGCTGCCTTCCCCTGAGGCGCCGCCTGCTGGGCAGCCGCTGCTGCTGCTGCTGCACGGACAGCAGCCAGAGGTCCCGGTCCTCGAGCTCCGACTGCTGCGGCGGATGCTGAGGCCACGGCTGCCCCACACCTGAGCGAGAGCTGCTCCCACCCCATGCCTGCACCCCTCAATACCGTGCTCCCCTGCGGGACAGGGCCTCAGAGCTTGCCCCCTTGAAGATAACTGCTCTTAGTTGTTCAGACACCCACCCTGTACTCAGCCCCACAAAACTCCCTGACCCCGCCACCCCCACCCCCGACCCCCCTTGTGCTTTTACTCCTTAGGAACCTGAAAGCTGTGGGTGGGACACTGGACTTTACTGTCTGCAGGGACTTGCATATGTAGGTGCTCAATAAATGCCTACTGATTTTATTGTCTTTTGAAGACATGTCTTAATAAAACTTCTACCTCCTGAGAACACTCCCCTTTCCTATTTGTTCTTTCATTTGTGTATTTATTATCATGTTCTGTTACTCCATTTTCTCACTCAGCTCTGGCTTGGCACATTTGTAAAAGGTGGGAAACTAAAAATTTCCCTGGAAAGCCTGAACAAGAGTGGCTTTCTGGTACTTAATCGTGATAGCAGAACTCACATAATGGAGCCAGACAGTGTTCTGAAGGCTTTATGGGACATGCATCATCTCACAACGACTCAGTGAGGTAGGTGCTATTATACCCATTTTACAGAAGAGAAACTGAGGTTAAGGAGCTTGCTCAAAGTCATTCAGCTGGCGCATGATGGAAAAAGCCGGGGCTTATGCTCCTAACTGCTCAGCTTGGTCCCCGGAAGGCTTCCAGAGCCTTGCCACTGAGGTGCTCACTCTCCTACCCATCAGGCCCAGGCAGCTGCATGGCAAAGGTTTGGATTTGCAACTCTTAAGGGCTTTGGAATCAGGTGAGCTGAGACTTAACTTTTGCCACAGAAGAGCACCAGCCCACTGCTTTGCTTGCTGGGTAAGGGAACTTTGCCAGTTGAGCATGCCGGGAGACTGAGGACCTCCCCTTCCAGGCCTCATTCATGCAGCTGAGGTCTGACTGGGAAACATGGGTTTCCAGGACTCTGCAGGATGAGAAGTGTCATGCTCAGAATTATGGGAATGTCATTCTCTAGAGGTGGTGGTTGTGGTGGGGTCATCCTGAGTAGCTCGGAAACCTCAGCCTGCAGGTGTAGATCTTATCCACTCGTTTCAGGAAGAGGAAGCAGAACAATGTCCTCTGCAGTGGTGTCTGCTGGGTTCACAAGGGAAGAGGCAATAGTAACAGTGATAATAATAGTGACAATAGCTACCACTTTACTCTGTTCTCATGCTGGGTTGGGCACAGGTTTAGGCACTTTACATATATTATCTCCTTTAATCCTCACAATAATCTCCATACATAGACAGGAATTTCCCTATTTTTTTTTATATGTAATGAAAGTGGGGCTCAGAGAGTTTCAGTGACTTGGCCAAAGTCGCACAGCTAGCGAATGTTCTAGGTCCTTAGATGGTGAGTGAGGGAGATGAGAGTTGAACTGGGATCTGTCTGACTCCAAAGTCCATGTTCTCAGTCTCAAACTGTCATATTCTCCTATCTTAGAAATCACCATCACCCGGGGAAGGGAACACTCAGACCTCTGCAGACACATCCAGGCTCTTAGAAAATTGAAGCCTGGCTTCTTGGCTGCTGCTGCATCAGTGACCCAATGACTGGTAAGCCCTGTCAGGGCACCCACCCAACAAAACGTATTTGCTCTGAGGCAGGGTCAGAAATGCTTCATTGATTTCATCCAGGATGTTTATACTTGAGACCAAATGACCCCTGTCATGGAGGCTCTGAAAGGCAGTCCTGCTCTGAATGAGAGGGGCCCTTATTTCCATCTCTGGGATTCTGTAATTTCCAGTGAGAGGTGATTTGTGGAACTGTTTACAAACAGATGACATCACCCATAGAGCTGCCTCTCCCAATGCCAGTGACGTGTGTTGAGGCAAAAAGCCCTGGGACTTGGTGGAGGGGTGGGGCGGGTAGGGAGAGCCGCCTGACTCAGAACAGACAGATTGGAAAGCCAACCTCAGGGTGGAGGGAGTGACCCTTAATCAGGGAGTTTTGGGAAAGAAAGATGGTGACTCACCACTGAGAGACACGTGAATCCGAATAGCAGTATATACCCTTGCACACAAGGCACAAAGACATAGATTAAATGGCTGACTGTGAGATGGTGGTACGGCCAGGCTCAAGTATGTGACCCCAGCAGGACACACGGGGGGACTTTGATGAGAAAGGTTTGGGCATTCTAAGAATAGTTTTATTACAGACACCTGGAAAGCTACTTTGGATGGGCTAGAGCTCTCTTTTCATGGCCCCATAGCCTTCTCTGACTTCTAGCAGCAGGTAAAGCTGTATATGTGGCACAGGCTTTCCCTCAGTGACAGCACTGTTGAATGTATTTTATTCAGGATGGCTCCAGTTCCTTCTTAAATTATGTCATTATAGTAATAAAAATAGCAACTGATATTTATATAGAACTTAGCAGTTTATAAGGTGTTTTCACGTATCTCCTTCACAATCCGTAAGACAGTATTATTGTCTCTTTTTTCTGTTTAACAGATTAGGAGAGGCTCTGAGAGTTTACATGATTCACCTGAGGTTATCCAGCCAAGAAGTGGCAGTCTCTGATTGGACTAGGCTTTCTAATGCTTTCCAAGAAAGCCAAGAGTCATCTCTTCTTTTTTAAAAAATTTTTATTGGAGTATAATTGATTTACAATGATGTGTTAGTTTCTGCTGTACAGCAAAGTGATTGAGTCATACATATATCCACTCTTTTTTAGATTATTTTTCCATATAGGCCATTATAGACTATCGAGTAGAGTTCCCTGTGCTATACAGTAGGTTCTTATTAGTTATCTGTTTTATATATAGTAGTGGGTATAGGTCAGTACCAATCTCCCAATTTATCCTTCCTCCCTGCTTACCCCTTGGTAACTGTAAGTTTGTTTTCTACATCTGAAGAGCTCCCTCTTCTTAATCTGTACACTGAGATAATTGAATAATGTCACCCAATTAATTATTTAGGGACAGCGTTTATTTATCCCTTATTTATCATTGCATTCCTAGCATCTAGAACTATGCCAGGTACATATTAGCAGTTAATAAGTAAATGGATGTTAATTAACACATCATGTGTAAAGTATTGACCTAAACAATTCTAGGAGATGCACAAAAGTATGTCTTTACCTCAAGGAGCTTATAGTCAGAGTTGAGAAACATGGTAAATAATCATATAAGATATGAATGATAACATCACATACAAGAAATAATGTCACATACTGATACATACAAATACAAGAAACATCAAAAACAAAACACAACATAGATAAGCGCTACAGGGGTTCAAATGAATTTAGATGAGGATTTGTTACAGGACTTCAAATGAGGGCAAGTTACTGTGGACTGGGTTATTCACGAGATTTCACGGAGGAGGGATCTGGGTCTGAAGGATGGAGACACTTCGGGAGGCAGAGATTCATTTGTTTATGCATTTACTCAACCCCGTCAGACGCCGTTGGCAGTGCTGGGACAGGATGAAGAATGAGACCAAGACCCTGCCTGCATGGACCTCACCTTCTGGGACAGAGGCAGACAAGAAAGTGAGCAGTCATATTATTTCACATAATGAAAAGTGCTGTGATGAAATAAAGAAGAGAGAGATACAGACATGAACCGAAGGTGTATGGAGATTTTAGATAGGGACCAGGGAAGGCTTCCCGGAGGAAGAACTATTTGAGCAGAAAAGGTGGGAATCATTGCACAGAGCAGGAAAGCGTACGATTATGGGGTTCTTACCTTGCTGGCAGCTTGAGGTTACGATGTTTAAGGGGAGCACACGGTTATGATGGCCCCATTAGAAACTTTTACTACTAGGAAGTAGCTTGGAATTCCAGTTGCTTGGCATACAGATTTGATGGTAAGATTAATCAGATACTATGAACCGGGCATTACTTCACTTAATCCTCCCAACTCTCCCACAAGCTAGTTTTTTTTCTCACATATTTGGGGTAAGAAAAACTAAGATATTATTATAATAGGTAGCCATCCCAAGGTTGTACAGCTTGTAATTGTCAGAACAGGATTTTGAACTGTATATGTCTGACTCCAAAACCAATGATCTGAACACTGAGCTCTAATTGCTTTTTTGGGGTGAAGAAGGCGGGTAGTTTTAAGCTTGAACAGAGGAAGGAGAAAGGACATCCAAGGTGGAGGTTGTGGTGTAGAAACACCACGAGGACACATCCTTAGAGAGGAGAGATGAGGCCAGATCACAGATGGTTTTGGTTGCCAAATCACAGCATTGAAACTGTATATATTTGTGGCAAGTGACGGTAGGAAAATGGTTTTGAAAGAAGTACTTTAGGAAAATAGGAGTTGGTCTACATGAACACCTACAGTACTCTCTGACATGACCCTAAGATTAATTAGGCAGTGGTAACTAGGATGCTCTGGAGGGGGAAGTGAACTGAGAAAATATGGTATATCACTGTGAGAAGGTGCAATGGCCCAGGCTTGAAGTGAGGATCTGAACGCAGTACACGGCAGTGGGCAAGGAAAGGAAATGACGAATGTCAAAAGCATTTGTCCAGAAGGAAGAAGAATAGACAGAGCTGGGCGATGTATTGGGACTGCAGAAGAGGAAGCAGCTAGGGTTCTCTGAGGCTTTGTGACTGGTGATGGGGAAATGATGATACCACTGACAAAACAGAGAAGTCAGGAGAAAAGAGATGTGGGGAGGAGGAGAAAGTTTGGTCCAGGGCACGTTGAGTTTGAGGTGCTAGCAACACATGACCATGAGGCAGGATGTGGGGCTGGAACTCCAGACATAGGATCTCTGAAAATTGATATAAACACATAGAAATGAGTCATCCAGAGATGACAGTCAATTCCTTGGGAATGAATGTGGTTCCACCTCTTCATTGAAAGTTACTGAGAGGACAGACCTGGTCTGTCTGTCTTGTTCATTGCAGCAACCTCAGTGTAAAGAACAGAGACTGGTTCACAGAAGGCACTCAGTCAATATGTGTTGAGTGAATGCATGA